ATTTTCTCGAACAACTCCAACTACCATCATCACTACCAAAGTGACGTACAGTAATAACACGCCATCGTCAACTAAACTCCGGAGATTAAACAAGTGACGTCACGCTGTGGGAAGAACCAATCGGGGGCGTGGAATCTTCTCCCCTAGTTGAGGGTCGTTTGAAATAGAAAACCGGGTGGAGGTGGAGCCGCCGTCACTCCCCCTCCGGAGTTGTGGCGGCAGAGTGATTTCTCCGAAGGTGTGAGGCGGAATGAGGTGAGGGGTGGAGGGGTAGGGGTGAGGCGGAGAGTGAGGAAAAAGACCTCAAGTTTATCTTACTGGGGATTTTGGCCGCCTTGTGTGTTACAGAGTAGGAGGTGTGTGTGTGTGTGTGTGTGTGTGTGTGTGTGTGTGTGTGTGTGTGTGTGTGTTTAGTGGAAATATTCTGTATTTTAATAGGGTAGAAACTATTATATTTTGGATAGTGAAAATCTATTTTTTATATGGTTAAGTTATATAATTTTTTATATTGATTGTGAAAAGTTATTATGTTTGATATAGTGTAGATCATTGACTTTTTATACAGTGTAAACATTTTAGTTGTGTACACTACGTTACTGTGAGGGGGAGATCAATGTGTATACACTGTAGTTTTTAGGTAACATCCATTTAACAGAGTCCCCACCCAGCCACTCTTAACATCTTAAAAACTAACATTCATCAACAGACGTCAACATCCACTCCAACAGACGTCAACATCACTCAACAGACGTCAACATCCATTCAACAGACGTCAACATCATTCAACAGACGTCAACATCCACCCAAACAGACGTCAACATTCATCCAACAGACGTCAACATCCATTCAACAGACGTCAACATCCTCACAGACGTCAACATCCACTCAACAGACGTCAACATCCATTCAACAGACGTCAACATCCACTCAACAGACGTCAACATCCATTCGCGGTAACATCCACTCAACAGACGTCAACATCCATTCAACAGACGTCAACATCCACCCCAATAGACGTCAACATTCATCAACAGACGTCAACATTCATCCAACAGACGTCAACATCCACCCAACAGACGACATCCACCCCAGCAGACGTCAACATCCATCCAACAGACGTCAACATCCACCAACAGACGTCAACATTCATCAAACAGACGTCAACATCCACACAACAGACGTCAACATCAACCCAACAGAGTCAACATCCCCCCAACAGATGTCAACATCCACCCAGCAGACGTCAACATCCATCAACAGACGTCAACATCACCAACAGACGTCAACATCCATCAACAGACGTCAACATTCACCCCAACAGACGTCAACATCCATTCAACAGACGTCAACATCCACCCCAACAGACGTAAACATCCACCAACAGACGTCAACATCCATTCAACAGACGTGAACATCCAACCCAACAGACGTCAACATCCATCAACAGACGTCAACATCCACCCCAACAGACGTCAACATCCACCCCAACAGACGTCAACATCCACCAGCAGACGTCAACATCCGCCCCAACAGACGTCAACATCACCCCAACAGACGTCAACATCCACCCCAACAGACGTGAACATCCACCCAACAGACGTCAACATCCACCCCAACAGACGTCAACATCCACCCCAACAGACGTCAACATCCACCCCAACAGACGTCAACCTCCACCCAACAGACGTCAACATCACCCAACATGAAAAGTTAGGGGGGGAGGTGGGAGGTGGTAGGGAGGATTAGGTGGAGTAAAGGGAGGTAGGGGAGGCGGGCAGTGGGAACACGCCTTCCCAGACTCTACCGGAACACACTGGTTGTCTACGGTACTCCAAATGTGTCCATCGTCTTTCTTATCCAAAGCTGCCTTGATAAAATCCTTAGAGTGGCGGGAGAAGAGAAGGTGCTTGTCTCCCTCCTCCTCCTTCCCTTCCTCCCCCTCCCTCCTCCTACCACTCCCTTCTGCCTCCATAACCCCCAACACACACTAACAAAGTTTGTTGACTGTGCTCAGACGGACCAACGGGCGACCCAAGATGCTTCTAGCTCAGCTCTGTGTGTGTTGTGTGTGTGTGTGTGTGTGTGTGTGTGTGTGTGTGAGAGAGAGAGAGAGAGAGAGAGAGAGAGAGTTTAATGCATTACTAATCATCACGTGTATAAATACTCTGGCACACACACACACACACACACACACACACACACACACACACACATACTACTATGGCAGTCCATCGAACTCGATGACGACGTTGCTGCAGCTGAGATGATTGATGAGTTATGTTATTCCTCTGATGCCACCGTAGATGACTATGGAGTCCAATCCTGGAGGCGCAGATCTTGTTGCATAGGTGACAGGGATGTTGTTCATTAAGAGGAATTATGCCTTGAGCCTTCTGATGTCGTTGGGCTCGTTTAGTAGTTCTCTTTTGGTTCAGTGAGGTCTCAAGTGTGTCCGCTCGTCTATGGCATGTTGAGCGCCATAAGGAACGGTCTGAGGCTAGTTATTCCAGTGAATTTGGTTGGATATCACAGCACTTGAGTAGAGTTTTAAAGCGGTTTCCATGTGAGAGCTTGCCATATAATATTTGTCTTGGAAGCCGGTGGTCTGGCATCCTGATAACATGTCCAAGCCAGCACAAGTGTCTTTTGGCTAGCATGGTTTCTATGCTGGTCGTGTTTGAGCGACGATATAGTTCTTCACGAGTCATTATATCTTCCCAGGATATTCCAAAGATACGCTTAAGCCATCTAGTGTGGAAGTTTTCCGGCATTTGGATATGGCGTTTGTAGGGCGTCCAGGTTCTGAGGCATATAATAATGTAGATATACAGACCGCTAGATAAACTGCAGTCTTCGTTCCATATTTGAGAAAGACTCTTGTTCTCAAACGTCCAAATGCAGCCGAGGCTAAATTGATTCTGGTTTGAATTTCCATAACCAGTGAACAGGTGGGTGTGAGAGTGCCACCAAGGTACTTAAACTGGTTTACTATTTTGATAGGATCTCCATTAATGTAGAATTGTGGTGCTTCTATTGGTGGAACAATGGACTGGACAAAAATCTCAAGTGTTCTGGGTGTTAATTTGCAAACCAAGCGAACTGTAAAAAACAGAGATCACGTCCAGTGCACGTTGCATAGATTCTCTGTTATGTGTCATTATTGCACAGTCATCTGTATACTGTAGTTCTATGACCTGAGTTGTTAAGGCTTTTGTGGAGGCTTCCAGACGTCTCATATTAAAAAGGCTACCGTCAAGACGGTACCGTATGCCCACACCTGCATCAGGCCCAAGGGCATTGTGTGAGAGTTGTGCTACAGCCAGCAGAAAGATGTTAAACAACACAGGTGCCAGCACACAGCCCTGTTTACGCCCATTTGGACACTGAATGGTTCTGACTGCACACTACCCACAAGTACCCGGGCTTGCATTCCATCATGCATCTGGCGGAGGATGTTTAAAAATCTTGGTGGTAGACCGACCCTCTCCAACAGTCCACAAAAGTTCTCTGTTTACTGTGTCGAAAGCTTTGGAGAGGTTAATGAAGGCGGTAAGGTCCACCTTTTGCTCTCGACTCTGTTCTTGAATTCTCCTAGCTGCTAAGATCATGTCTATTGTACTGCGATCCTTCCTGAATCCACATCACATTATCCTCCCCATCAAAACATATGCAAAAACACCCCGTTATAGAACTCCTAAGTGACCATATATTTTCCTCTACCTCGTTATGATCATCGTTTACACAACCTCGTCAGAAATAAAAGCTAAAAAAATATAATGATACCGGCATATATAAGGGAGGTGGTCTGTAGCACAACAACATCATCTCCTTTCCTCCTCCTCTTCGCTTGATGCTGACTGGCGGCTCAGACGAACACTGCCATAACACGTATTTTCTCTAATTTATTATCTCTGCTTTCTCCTCCTTTTATTGACAGTTTCTCTTTATTCATCGTTTTCTTTATTTTTTTTTTTTTCGTTCCTTATTTTTTAATCTTTTATTTTATTGTCTTTTATTGGGAGTTTCTCTTCATTCTTACCTTATTTATCCCCCTTCTCCCTTTTCCTTTATTTACCAGTAGTTCCTTTTTCATCACCACCTTTATTCCCTTTCTCCATTTCCTTGTTTCTCGTTTCCTTCACCATACAAACTTGGATGGAGTTTTTTTTTTATTTCCATTATATCAATACAGTGTGTCATTGATACCATGGTACCTGAGACTTGGCGAAAGGAAAGACGTGTGTGATTTTGTAAAGGTTGGCACTGTGGTTAAGGGTGGTACTGTGGTTAAGGGTGACACTGGTTAAAGGTGACACTATGTTGGTTAAGAATTGCTACTGTGGTTAGGGTGGCACTGGTTGGGTGACACTATGATTGGTTAAGGGTGGTACTGTGGTTAAGGGTGGCACTGTGGTTAAGGGTGGCACTGGTTAAGGGTGACACTATGATTGGTTAAAGGGTGGTACTGGGTTTAAGGGTGACACTATGATTGGTTAAAATTGGCACTGTGGTTAAAGGTGGCACTGGTTAAGGAGTGACACTATGATTGGTTAAGGGTGGTACTGTGGTTAAGGGTGGCACTGTGGTTAAGGGTGGCACTGGTTAAGGGTGACACTATGATTGGTTAAGGGTGGCACTGGTTAAAGGGTGACACTATGATTGGTTTAAGGGTGGTACTGTGGTTAAAAGGTGGCACTGTGGTTAAGGGTGGCACTGGTTAAAGGGTGACACTATGATTGGTTATAGGTGCCACCCATAACCATAGTGCCACCCTTAAATGCATTCCCCTTTACCATAAGACCACACACGTACACCCAGGGGACATAAAGGGAGAACTGTCGTGGGTAAATATGAGATTGTTTTTTGCATGTGGTGATTTAATGTGACGAAGGGCGGTAATGGCCATCTCGTTAGGGTATCGACACCTGTAGCTCTCTCTCTCTCTCTCCTCTCTCTCTCTCTCTCTCTCTCTCTCTCTCTCTCTCTCTCTCTCTCTCTCTCTCTCTCTCTCTCTCTCTTCAACTTTCCTATCCCTCTTCTCATTCTCTTTATTCTCTCTCCTCTCCTCCTTCCTCCCGTCTCCCTCCACCCCGCTTTCTCTTTAGTATTTTTCATCACTCCTTTCTTCCTCCCTCGTCTCATCCCTCCCTCCCTCCCCTCGATCGACTCATACAAGGGGTTGTATCTCCAGCGAGAGAGAGAGAGAGAGAGAGAGAGAGTTTTTAGACATGTTTACGTCTCGTACAAAACCAGAGACTCACAACATGGCGGCGTCACTTTAGACCAGCATATTTTTTGTCACCTCTCAACAACAACAACAACAACAACCCCAACAACCACCACCACAGCAACATCAACAACAACCACCACCACAACATCAACAACAACCACCACCACAACATCAACAACAGCCACCATCACAACAATAACAACCACCTCAAAACATCAACAACAACCACTACCACCACCACAACATCAACAACAACCGCCACCACACCATCAACAACAACCACCACCACACCAACAACAACAACCACCACCACAACATCAACAACAACAACCACCACCACAACATCAACAACAACCACCACCACAACATCAACAACAACCACCACCACATCAACAACAACCACCACCACACCATCAACAACAGCACCATCACAACAATAACAACCACCATCACAACAATAACAACCACTCTCAAAACATCAACAATAACAACCACTACCACCACCACAACATCAACAACACAACCACCACCACAACATCAACACCAGCCACCACCACAACATCAACAACAACCACCACAGCAACATCAACAACAACCACCCACAACATCAACAACAACCACCACAGCAACATCAACAACAACCACCACCACAACATCAACAACAACCACCACAGCAACATCAGCAACAACCACCACCACAACATCAACAACAGCCACCACACCATCAACAACAGCCACCATCACAACAATAACAACCACCCTCAAAACATCAACAATAACAACCACTACCACCACCACAACAATAACAACAACTACCACCACACCATCAACAACAGCCACCATCACAACAATAACAACCACCCTCAAAACATCAACAATAACAACCACTACCTCCACCACAACAATAATAACAACCACCACCACCAACAACAACCACCACAGCAACATCAACAACAACCACCACCACAGCATCAACAACAACCACCACAGCAACATCAACAACAACCACCACACCACAACATCAACAACAGCCACCACACCATCAACAACAACCACCATCACAACAATAACAACCACCCTCAAAACATCAACAATAACAACCACTACCTCCACCACAACAATAATAACAACTACCACCACCACCCATCAACAACAGCCACCATCACAACAATAACAACCAC